CTTGTCTGGGTCTGGGTGTGAACAGACAGCAGGGTGGGGCTGCTCGTCTCAGCATCAGGGAGGGCAGCTCCCTGCACTCAGCCCCCTGTTCTCTGAGTCCTCCATTTCCAAACTGAAGCTGCCTTTAGGAGTTGGTTCACTTAGTCCTGGCCATGTGAGTGATTGGGCACTTTGAGTCCGTTTGTGTCTCACCCTCAGGACCTGAATGCCTACAAGAAGCAGGGGATGGCATTGCTGACCAGAGTGGGTGAGTCGGTCAAGCATGTCACTGGCGGCTACAAGCTGAGGACTCGGCCTCTTGAATTTGCAGCCATAGGTGAATACTTAGACATGTTTGCACTCAAACTGGGGACCATCGATCGAATAGCCCAGCGGATCATCAAAGAAGAAATAGGTGAGCTCTTTGTTGAGATCTTGATTTTGCCAAGTGACCACCGTGGCAGAAGTGACATTCATGTGTGTTAAGCAGAATTAAACAGCAGAAATGATGGAATGACAGAACTAGGCCATATGTCACATATAAAACAAAACAAAGCAGGAAGGAGCTAGTTGTGGCTAGATTAGAATTTCGCATTCCGTCCTTTGTCCTAGTGTTGGCTTTTCCCACACAAACAAATGCTCCAGGCCTTTCCTCCTTTGTCTCTCTAACTTTAGCTTTAAAAGTGTACACATGGGGGTGCCTGTGGCTCAGTGAGTAGAGTTCCGGCCCCATATACAGAGGGTGGCAGGTTTGAACCCAGCCCCGGCCAAACTGCAACAAAAAGTAGCCAGGCATTGTAGCAGGTGCCTGTAGTCCCAGCTGCTCAGGAGGCTGAGGCAAGAGAATCACCTAAGCCCCAAAGCTGGAGGTTGCTGTGAGCTGTGACGCCATGGCACTCTACCGAGGGGGACAAAATAAGACTGTTGCCAAAAAAGAAAAAAGTAAAAAGTGTACACATGGCCTAAACTGCCCTTCATTCATCGGAATGGTAATTGTAGAAAATTTGTATGTTTTTTCTGGCAGAAAGATGGTTCACAGAGCAGCTTGGTAACTTGTGTTTGCCAAGGTTATGACCCTAAGGAGTCTTCAGACTTGAAGTTGACTCAACGGCTCCACCCCAGGTTCATTTAAACTCACTGCTTCTGAGCTGGGGAGTTGCCCGGGCCTGTGTTTACTTTTCTGGTGTCAATACCACTTCCTTCCCACCTTTCTAATGGCCATATCCCAGAATCTGTTTTTTTTTTTTTTTTTTTTGTCTCTTTACCTGTGTGTAAGGCAGACAGACCTGACCACTGTTAATGATCATGCTGGCACATGAGACACCTGGAAAAGGCTTCTCCAGCATCTGCCACTCAACAGCTAAATAGGGCACCAATGACCTGTTGTTATGGCAAACATCCTAGTGACAAATGATGGAACATTTTGGGGGGGGAATCAACATTTTTTCCTTGTTCCCTCTTCTTGCTCTCTTTCCTTTACCCCCTGGTGGTCATGTGGGGGCCATAGGTTTTGAACACAGCTTTGGGGACCTTCTACACCTGGGCATTGTGTGGTGTAAATTCTGGTGGGATCAAGGTGTTGGGATGACCACTGAGTGAGTTCTGCCAGTGTAAGACCACATGTCCTGTGTCAACATGTTTTCTAAAAATCCATTGTTTTTCTATTGTTACTGATTTTTCCCCCCCTTGGAAAAAGTCCCCTTAAACCTATGTAAAACTCTGTCCCCATTACCTGCTAAAATACTGCTTCACAGTATGGGGTAGGCGAGTGGTTATTTTCAAAGATGTTTGATGGGTGTGGCTCCGGCCGCTTTCCCCCAGAAGGCATGGTGGTGCCTGTTACCCTGAAGCCTGGAACTCCCATTTATGGGGTCCAGTGGATTGACATCTTGATGTCATCTGTAACATCAGCTTTTAGCAGTTCTGAAATTTTATAAATTATGTTAGAAACAGTGTTACATTTAAAGAAGAGAGTTTGGGTGAGTGAACACTCACGGAAACACAATGTAAGGTAGAGAGCGCTCTTGGCTGCTGTGCTTACAGCCTCAGTAATACTAGTGATTTCTGGCAAGGTGGCTCAGGCCTGTAATCCTAGCATTCTGAGAAGCTGAGATGGGAGGAACACTTGAGCTCAGGAGTTTGAGACCAGCCTGACCAAGAGCAAGACCCTATCTCTAATAAAAATGAAGAAATTAGCTGGGCACTGTGACGGGAGCCTGTAGTTTTAGCTTTTTGGGAGGCGGAGGCAGGGAGGATCACTTGAGCCCAGGAGTCTGAGGTTGCTGTGAGCTAGGCTGATGCCATGGCATTCTAGCCTGGGACAACAGAGTGAGACTCTGTCTCTAAAAAAAAACCCCAAAACACTAGTGATTGCTGCCCAGCCACATTTTAATTGGTTTCTCTTCTGCATTTAGAGTACCTTGTAGAGCTGAGAGAGTACGGGCCTGTGTACTCTACATGGAGTGCATTGGAGGGAGAGCTGGCTGAGCCCCTGGAAGGCGTGTCAGGTTGCATTGGGAACTGCTCCACAGCCTTGGAAGAGCTGACGGATGACATGACAGAAGACTTTCTACCTGTGCTCAGGGAATATATTTTATACTCTGACTCCATGAAGGTAAGCTGGCTTAGGTACTTTTCTTTGTAATAGTAATTGCTCAAGAGGACTGGATTATTGCTTATTTGTATGTGGTCCCTGTTTTCTTTTTCCTGCCTGGGTAGGAACAGACATGTGGACTGACATCAAAGGCATATAGATAGGACACATGGTGAACTAAATTCGTGAATTAAATAGAAAAAGTTCAGGAAGAAATTCTTATCAGTGTTCTTGGAGTGTTCAAGTGGATGTAAGGTCTCCTAAATAAGAACAGGCCGCTATGGAAAAATAGTAGTTAGGTAATGGAATCAGAGCTCTTGGAAGTTAAAATGTGATTGCTGGAATAAAGTTGATTAGTAAAGTTGAACGATGAGGTTGAGGAATTCTTAAAGTAAGACCAATGAGTAGTTGAAAAATACATAGAACAAAAATGCTAAAGTCCCAAGAATATGAAAGAAAAGCGACATGGGGAAATGAATCCCAAAGGTCTGGTGTCGGACTGATACAAGTTCCTGAGAAACAAGGAAAACAGAGAAAGGACTTTGCAAAAGAAATAATACAAGAAAATCTGGTCCAGGAATTTGAGAGTGCAGTGAACTATGATACCACGGCACTCCAACCTGGCCAACAGAGTGAAACCCTACATTTAAGAAAAAGAAAAAGAAAAAAAGTGAAACAGAAATCAAATCTCTCATATCAAGTCTCTCTCAACATGCTGGGCCTGGTGCAGTGGTCTGTAATCCTAGCACTCTGGGAGGCCAAGGCAGATGGATTGCTGGAGCTCGGGCATTTGAGACAAAACTTGAGCAAGAATGAGACCCCATCTCTACTAAAAATAGAAAAACTAGCTGGGAATTGTGGCAGGAGGCTGAGAAAAGAGGATTGCTTGAACCCATGAGTTTGAGGTTGCTGCGAGTTGGGACACCACGGCATTGTACCATGGGTGACTGAGTGAAACTCTGTCTGAAAGAAGAAAAAAGAAAAAGAACATGCTAATTGCCCTGCAAGAAAGGGTAACCAACCAGAGCATATCATGGTCAAACTTAAGATTTAGAACAAAAGTGATAAGAATTTGAAAGTGTTAATAAAAAGAAAGGGAGAGGTGGCAGATGGTGAATAAAAGGAACAAGAGTCAGAATGACTCTGGTCTGGGAGGAATGAATGAGACAAGACAGAGAATTAGGAGGACAGAAGACTTCCAGTCTCAAGCTCTGTGCGCAGAGATGGCCACACCAGAAGCTTCACAGCCTACACAGGGATGGGTTGGATAACCTGCTAGAGGAAAGAGTCGGTCTTCCTGACCAACAGAAAAAAATACAGCTCAGTGTTAAACATCCCTACCTCCAAGTAGCCCCCTTCCTGTTTCCCAAAGGAGACCCCTGAAGTTTCAGTCTGTCTCTTTTCAGGGAGGTCGAGGGTGTCCCACTAAGCGAGACCCCAGTAGGGCCAGACCTGACTCTCCATAGAGATGCGTGTCAGTCAACACTGGGCTGTAAAGATGGCTAACCAGAAAGGTCATACAAGCAGACCCCTGAACATATTCTACAGCTTAAGAAGGGAGTAAAAAATAATGAATCACCTCGTTAGAAGAGGTTGAACAAGTAAGTTTGCAAACTTACCTTAGAAGAAGTGCTCTGTACGTCATTACTGAGTATCGCTACAGTCACCTTTGAAGCATTCCCTTGGGAAGCCGCGCACTGACACCAGAGCCTAGTCCACCCTTCAAACCAATTTTAGAAATCTTTTTCTGGGATGGCCACCAGAGCTGCTGTTGTACAAGGTCTGACAATCAAGTTTGCAAACTTGTCCTAGAAAAAGTGCTTTATCATGGAGTCCAGATATGGTGGCCCCTGCCTTAATCCTGGGACTTGGTGGGGGCTAAGGCAGGATTGCTTGAGGCCAGGTGTTCAAGATCAGCCTAAGTAAGAGCAAGACCCCCATCTCTACAAAAAAAATAGAAAAATAAGGTGGGTGCACCTGTAGTCCCTTTGGAGGCTGAGGCAGGAGGATCGCTTGAGCCCAGGAGTTGGAGGCTGCAGTGAATTAGGATAATAACACTGTACTCTAGCCTGGGCAACATAGCAAGACTCTGTCTCAAAAAAACAAAAACCTGAAACTAAACCTTTATTATGACAAACTTCAAACATATATAAAAGCAGAGAAAATAGTATGATGAACTCCCATATCCCTAGCATCCTTATTCCATCTCATTTCATCAGGTATGAATATTTTTAAACTCTTAATACAGAGACAAGTGTGGACAATGGAAAATAGATGGAGCCTATTCCTGGTAGAATGAATCACAGTCTTGTGTGATAAAAAAACTCTTTCAAAGACAGGATTATGTCTGGTTTCACAGTGATCAGGAAAATGGTATGAATTTCCTTATCCGTAGGGTGGAAATGATAATGGTGGTGGTGGTGATAGGGATTACATAAAGCTCAGATGTGAGATCATTAGCCCAAGACAGCTTTGTTGGTAATTATTAGAGCTGAGAATGAAAACCAAAACTTTGGGCTCCAAATTTATAGCTCAGTCTCCTTCATCATGTTGCCTTTTCTTCATAAAATCGAGATATGTGTAATGTATTTTTAATCCTGTGGCTGAAACAAGTTAGAAAGGCATCTTGACATGCTTAAAATGAACTAGAAAATTTCACTTTACTTATAAAGTTAATAGTATTGTTTTTGTGAACAAAAATAAGTTTTTATAATCTTTGGAATGTCCTTGAATTTGCCTTTTACAGAGACACCCTCTTCATCAAAACACTCCTAACTGTGCCTAAGAACCCAGTGCATACGTGGTACTGGGATGTTAGAATACAAATGTCATTGTTCTTGCATGAGACAAGCATGTTAGTACTTCAATTTTCTTTTCTTTTTTTGCAGTTTTTGGCTGAGGCTGGGTTTGAACCAACCACCTCCAGCATATGGGGCTGGCGCCCTACTCCTTTGAGCCACAGGGGCTGCCCAAGTACTTCAGATTTGTATTTGAAGCAGGATTTAAATGGTCACATAGCAAGGATTTATCTGACATTTTTATTAAGACATAATTATGCTGTGAGACATAAGTGTGTATGAGTGAAGTTACATGTCAAAGAAACATTTGTTTGCTCTCTTTCTTCACCCTCATGCTTCATATGAGGCATATATATTGAGTTTCTTATTGACTGAGTCTGAGAAAATATTGATCGGGTTAATCAGGCTGGGAGAATGGGACTGTACACAGTGTTGTCTGGGGAAGGGGTGGCTGGCAGGGACTGAGGTCACCTGCTCGCCCCCTTTCCAACAAAGAGACGTCTCTGCAGAGTGTCCTGGGCAAGACAGGAGTGATTTGGTGGCAAAGCCAAGACTGCAGTGGGATTGTTGGGGTCTGTTGGTAATTATTGGCCAAGATAAAGGGCACCAGTAGCAGGATATTGTCCTAAGTGGGTCCCCTACCTTTTCTTCTTCTGAAAGAGTCACGTAATTCCATTTCCAAAATGACTTTCTGATTTTTGAGATATAAGCAGGGCAGACAGTGCTGAGAAACTCCTGGTTTTGTTTTGGTGGGGAGTTATTGGTGTGGTCTCCTCCTTTTATCGTGGCCTCACGTGAACCACATGGGCAGTATTTACCCTCCTCATTTGGAGGCAGTGGCCTGTGCCTTAGGAACTTGAACTAGTTGAGGGGACAGTTCATCGCTAGAGAGGGAAAGTGCCAGGGGCTCACAAAGCCCTCTCCTATCAGGGCTGTGTGATAGGTTCCTCTCTGAGTTCAGAAGGACCTTTGGGATCATCTTGTTTAATCCACTCTTTTTTTTTTGGCCCGGGGCTGGGTTTGAACCCACCACCTCCGGCATGTGGGGCCAGTGCCCTACTCCTTTGAGCTACAGGCGCCACCCCAATCCACTCATTTTTGAGATGAAAAAACAGAACCCTGTGGGTTAAGTCTTTTCTCCATGCTGGGGCCACAGAACTATACTCCCTCAGGACCAGTTACCTTCTAGCTATGTGTTTACTATTCGCCAAGAGAGAAGCCAGGTGAGTCCTGGACTTTCAAGGCTGGTCTTCAGTTGTATCTCTTTAAGGACAGTTGTGACTGGGGATGTTCTGTTCTCCTGGAGGGTAGAAAGCAAGCACAGAAGAAGTGGGGTCGTTATCAGGCCACGTGGAACAAATGGAACAGTGATGTTTTAAGCTGTGAACAATGAGAACAGCTTGTACTAGAAAGATAGTTGAAGGCACGTATTTTAAGAATTCAGGGCTTGGCGCCTGTAGCTCAACCGGCTAAGGCACCAGCCACATACACCTAAGGTGGCGGGTTCGAATCCAGCCTGGACCCACCAAACAACAATGACAGCTGCAACCAAAAAATAGCCAGGCATTGTGGCAGGTGCCTGTGGTCCCAGCTACTTGGGAGGCGGAGGCCGGAGACTCGCTTGAGCCCAGGAGTTGGAGGTTGCTGTGAGCTGTAATGCCACAGCACTCTACCCAGGGGGACAGTTTGAGGCTCTGTCTCCAAAAAAAAAAAAAAAAACAAAAAGAATTCAAGGAGAGATGACCAAACAGTGATGGGGTGAAAGGGACCCAAAGTTATCCTCAAGCCCAGGACTCAAGTTAAACACCCTCTAGACCTCTGCAGGCAAGCCCTCATATGGGATTTCACATCCTAAGACTATGTGTGTATATAAATATAATTGGGGTAGTGTCAGACTGGGAGAGATCATCGTAGGGTCCTTACCAATTTCTGGCAGTTGCCTGGAGTATTCGGCAACTCTGACCAGGCCAAGAGTTGGAGAAGTTTTATTTACGGAGGTTAGGGCAGGACTGTCTCATTTCCCACACTGCCTTATCCATAGAAGGTAGTTGGCAAATATTGCATTGGATTTGGCAATTTGGTGAATTTGGAACATTTACAAATACATAACTATTGCATGTCGTGCATCTTGTTATTTTTAAGAGGTTTATCTATGTCAACAAGATATGGTTATCTCAGAAGTCTTGGTGAATGACTGGAGTGGAGTGAGGGTCCAAAGAAAGA